AGTGCAGTGCAGTGCAGTGCAGTGCAGTGCAGTGCAGTGCAGTACAGTGTGGCGTGGTGTGGTGCGGTACAGTGTAGTGTAGTGCAGTGCAGTTTAGTGTAGTATAATTTAGTCTCCGATTCGTTTACAATAATTCAAAAAATGTCAATAATTAACTTGACACAATTGAAACAGTACAAATGGAAACAGCCACTGAGTTTAATTTTAGCGAATTTTAGGTTGCAGAGATATATTTACTTGCCAATGGTTTTATCACATTGTAATATAAGTATGTAATAATATTATCTGTACTGCCTTGGGTGAGGTGGATTATGGAGCCACGAATTCTGATTGAAATGCACCCGTTATGAACACACTGATTATGGTTATATTCCTGAAGCTGCACCACTTCATAATATTCATTGTGTACTGAACTATACAATAACTACGTGTCATCTGAGCAGATATCCACTCAAGTGTTGAGTGATTGATATTATTTGGATGCAAATAATATTTACTGTTCTTGGCGAATGGTTGCTGTAGATGGGTCTTCGCCTGCACTTAGTGTTTCGTCCTGCTTTGAAGAGCGCGATTTATGTAAAGATTGATATTCGCTGGCGGTGAATGGTTGCACAGATTCGTAAGCCCCTGTAGTTGGATTGGTGGTTGTTGTTGGGTCATCGCCTACACTTGTATCTGGTGTTCCATCCTTTGTAGAGCAGGATTTGTTTAAACATTGATACTCGCTGGCGGTGAATGGTTGCACAGATTCGTAAGCCCCTGTAGTTGGATTGGTCGGTGTTGTTGGGTCCTCGCCTACACTTGTATCTGGTGTTCCATCCTTTGTAGAGCAGGATTTGTTTAAACATTGATACTCGCTGCCGGTGAATGGTTGCACAGATTCGTAAGCCCCTGTAGTTGAATTGGTGGGTGTTGTTGAGTCCTCGCCCACACTTGTATCTGGTGTTCCATCCTTTGTAGAGCAGGATTTGTTTAAACATTGATATTCACTGGCGGTGAATGGTTGCACAGATTCATAAGCCCCTGTAGTTGGATTGGTCGGTGCTGTTCTTTGGACCTCGTGTACACTTGTATCGTGTGCTACCTCGTGTATCGCAGTGTCAAATTTGAGAAAATCCAAATTTATGAATTGTGTTTGTAATAGTTTCATCTTTCTCCATCTTTTTCTGTGTGCACATTCGTATATTACAATGACTGCTACAATAAGCACGAATAAAACAAACGCAACGACAGTTATACTGGCAATCATTGATGTGTATGACTCCCTAACCAGCAGAATACCTGCAAAATTATGAAAATAAATAAATACAAATATATAGTAGACATAACTATTACATATGTACTGAAGATTACACAGTATTCCATTAAATTAAATGTAGTTCTGAATGCATTTCTAAGTATTCGTGTATTTTTATTTATTGAGTTAGGGTTACCTAATCGCACCATGGTTTTGATTGATTTACTTGTTTTGTTGACCATGCGTTGATCAAGTGCTTCATAATAAAACGTCAGTTAAATGTTGGCTTTGAACTCAGACTATTCAAGTACGAGCTTTGAACCAAAGGACTGATATGCAAATAAGATAAAATAGTTCTTTCTAGCTTGTGTTATTTGAAAATGTTATTGAGCTTATAGCAAGATGTATAGTTCAATTATTTATTTAACGTTGAATGCATCTGTTACATAAACTGAGGGTACAATAGGAGCAGGGATATTTAGAATATCTTCTTTTGCAATAACGACTATTGAAGCTTTCACGACCAGACTCCTTGCTGTTAGAACAGCCAACGCGGAAATAGTCAACAGTCAGTGGTCAGTTGGTCAACGCGTCAGGACGTTGGAAAACCCATGCATATCTGACGAGATAGTATATTTAAAGCGGGGTCTGAGGTGATTTTCTGATTAGATTGACAATCATGAACATACCTTTACTGGAAGTCTTCAACGAATACGTACTTCTTTTTTACGATAGTGATAGCTCCACTTTCATGAAGTACACTACGGTGTTCGGGCATTGGAAGCAAACACGTCTATCTCAAATTACCGTACGTATTATATTGTCTCGTGGTGGACCACTTGACATCGGGGGCATGCATACTTTAGTAAATACCATTACACCCCCGTCCCTATAGATTGCTCGTTTGATACGAATCGCCAAGTGCTGCATAACAACGTAATCATGCCAGCCAATAAACAGTACTGCAAACAGCCTAATAAATGCCAACATACCTTATTCTTTTAAAGCGTGTAAAATAACTATACACAACAGCAGTCAAGTATTGTTGAAATGGCGTGTATGCTATTAACATGTGTGAAACAGGCCTTTGATGTACTGAGTAAACTTAATATTAGATACTCTTTTAGTTTAAGTTACATCCTACCACTTTCGGGCCCAATTTTAGCCGTGGGAACTGTCAAGTACTAAGGTAACAACTGTGATTCTATAGCACAAGATGATGACAAGTTTCAAGGGCGGTTCCTCTATAAAGTAATTAAAACTGCCCATCTTCCGTAAACAGATACACATTAATAATAATACTTTATTGACATCATTCTGTTTGAAGAGAACATACAGTCAAGTGCTAAACTAATAATTAAAATTAAAAAAAAGAAGAAATAAATATGTAGTTTAAATAAATACATATTTAAAATTATGAAATATTGATATATATATTTAAAATGCACCACATTCTCTAATATAGTTCGCAAGTTCTTTATCTACATTGCTCATAATGTATATAAACTTGTCATCTGCTAGCATATATCAATTGTGATAGGAATATTTAGTATCAAATCCAGTTGTTATTATTTTATTCGAATGCGTATTGTGCTTTATTATGTCAGTCTGCCCCTATAAAAGTTCTATCTTGCCTTCCCAACTCCTTAAGTGACCATTTTGAAATCCTGGCCTAGACCGCCAAACCACGTCTACCACACATGTGTACTACAGAGTATGTTAAGTATTGACATCTAGGGCCACAAAGTGTAAATTAGTTAAATGCTGTACACTTACTGGTTCAAAATGCGATCTTCGCCAATATTTTGTTGTGAACAAATCTTAACTCATTTCTTTATTAGTAATTATATGTACATTTATCGCCGACTTGTGGCGAATATTTATTTGTTCTATTGTGAGGATTCACATCATCTCATTCTTACTGGCGAAGAAATATACAAATGTTCAATACATGATGACATCGCGACATTTTCAATACACAAATTGTCCAATACTTCAATGAATGAATGAATTAGTTTTTTTTAAATGTAAGAAGGGTTTCAAAACAGTAAATCCAGAGGAGATTAAATAACTACATTTACGACTATTAGATACAATTGCTAAGTACTATGGTGCGTGTTTTATAACAGTTTTATTATAGTTTTATTGGCTATGCAGTTGTTTATACTAAAATCCATATCATTTATTGAATATGTTGAATACTATATGCACGATTAGAATTATATTTGTTTAAACATTTCAATATATTATATTCCAGGTTTATGTTTTGATATACTAGTGTATTCATGTCAATTATTAATATACAAGCCCCGTTCATCTTTGCAGTATCTTAATAATCAGAACTCCGCATTTCGTGTGTTATGTTTTTCATAATTTAACGTTTATACGAACCAAACAAACGTGAAATATATACTGGATAAATACTTGATTTGTAATAAATGACATATCACATATAATATTCTTGCTTACAGTTTGTGAATATTAGATGTAGCTCTCATTGTCACAATGACTTTGCTGGGGTTGCAAACTTTCATAAATATTAGACTTCTGCAACTCCAAAGCTTGATAATGACTTATTGTTGCCTCCTCGTCATTATTGATATTAGCCATATGTGTGTGTAATGCTTGATAATCACTAGTAGCAAAGGGTTGCATAGACTCATACACACTTGTATTTGTCTTATTCACCTCCTCGTTGTGACCATCATTTGTAACATTATCCACATACGTTTCAACTATATCATCATTCAGATTGCTTTGAGCTATTGGTGGTACCTCACTTGATGGCATTACAACGGGATTGGTAGAGACGGGTATGTGCAATGATTGATAGACACCGGTAGTAAAAGGTTGTACATCTTCATAGCTACTTGTACATTTCGTGTGCACGTCATTGTCACTATGATCTGTACCATGTATATCATTGTCTACATCGGTTTCCAATTCATCAACATTGTCTGTCCCTTCAGGTGAAGTACTAGTAGGTTCGAGATTAAAATCCAAACTTAGAAATTTGGCTCTCAGTTGTTTAATCGTTTTTTGTTCCTTTCTGTGTGCGCGTTCATAGACGACACAGACAACCACAATAAGCAAGAAGAGAACAAGCACGATGACAGATATACTGACAATAATAGCCGTATATGTCTCAGTGGTCGGATATTGTATGTATCCAATTCGGAATTCGAGGTTACCTACAAAGACCTGAAAATCAAATCACACCACTTGTAAAACGTATATACTATACACACAGCATTTAATATAAAGCACATGACAAAACAAATAAAATTCAAGAACACGCGATGTGTAACAGGACACGAAACACGAAAAAAAGTCATGTTTTTCCCCACAACAGACACAACACGACTGTTCTCTAAATGGTTAAATGCATAACAATCGCACAAGCCAATTACAACCATATAACGAATAGTAATCAATAACAATTTATACGATTTGTGCTACCACTTACCCGTACTTCCGGTAAGTCATTAAAAGTAGCAGTACCATTAACATTCACACCTTTAGGCTGTGATACGGGTGGTATACAGTTGACTTGATTATCAGCTAGACTAATGACATTACATGTCTCTGTCCCGATGTATATTTCTATTTCTTCCCTTGTGCTGGCAAAATTAAGGTTTTTTCCCTACAGAGACAATTGTGTCATAAAACATAAAACACGTGGTTCTTATTTTGCAATTATTAGCTAGCAGATTGCAAAGTTGCATTTTACTTAGTGTTAAAAATAATTTGTTTACACTTTGTACTCTTATTTAAATGAGTGCATTGTATTAAAGATTACATTTATTAGTAAGGAGGCAGCTTTAGTTAAGCCTAATCTCACAGAACATGGAAATAGAAAAAAAACTTCAAACACAGGTTAATGAAAACAACACATACACCGGCCACGTGATTTATAGCGTAGCTAATCGGCGACAGCGTTGTAGGTGGTGATTTACTGCATTAATACAGACGAGCCATAGTTTCCAACTGTAAACTTTATATCAGCTGGCCCAAAAAGTTATTTTAAGACAATAATTTGTTGATGTGCGAATTAAATAGACTTTTCCTGGTATTTAAGATTGAATTGAAACACCAGTTTAAAGAGATGGTTCCTTTGTATGATATGTGGTATAATTCTGTAACGCTACAGGCTTCTATGACATTTAAAAAAGTGGTTAGTTTACTAACAAATAAAATTAATTTATTTTTTCTTTTAATACCCGTCCTAAATAAATGAACAGAATTACGTACTTGAAGCAAGAAATATTTACACTGATTCTTGATAGTGTTATAATAAATTAAATTGTATATGTTGGTTAAATGTTATTTATTTAATTTTAATAATTGCTGCACATGCACTACTTAGTACATTCAACATAATTATTTACTTGAATTGTCAATTGCGCTCCTATGAATCTTTTGACGCTATCCCCGCCATCAAATGGAAAATATTCTGGATCTTCGTGAAGTTTGAAATCATAATTGGGTAGTTCACGGAGTTCTTCAACACCATCCATTAAGAAACCGATTGTGGCATATTCACACGCGTCACCGCACACAGTCTTTTGCAATCGTGATGTGACCTCTGATGATAATTCTGATGGCGACGATAAGCAAGATATACATGGTGTGAAGCATATCATCCCACTATTGGAATTCATGTCACAAGGTTTCTGTAATGAATTATGAATTTAATATTAAAAATTGATGATGAGCAATATATGTTCACTGAAAAACCAATGTCATAGCGTAATTCTAATTAGAAACCAATTACACTCACTGATATGTATTTCTTATCACCCATGGAAATGACAAGTCTGGGTTCCTGAACTGACAGGAAATATTCTCCATAAACTACAATTCGACGACCGCCACTATATTAAGAAAATATATAAGAGATAAAATAACCCAGGATTTCGAACACATGTAACATAGAAACAATACATATTACCTGACTCATTTCATTCCACGAACTAGCCGCATACAAGTATAAACAAGTAAACGTAAAAGTAAACGACTAAACAAATCATATGTTCTACAAATAACTATAATTATGACGCACACTTATTTGTTAAAAGTTCTCAGTATTTGATGAAAATTGCATTCAATCCTAATTATTTGTTCAGAAATAAATGTGGACTATGATTATTATATTATAAATTTCCCATTTAAAATGTTTTCTAAAATGATTATTATATGTCAACTGTTTTGTCGTTACTGCCTTGCATAAATATATAATAATATGAAAGAATAATAATATCGTTTTTGCATCGAAATTTTGAAGTAATTAATTCAGATCTTAATTTTAAATTTGTAAATTATTGAGAGCTGTTAGAAAACTACTGAGCAAATAAATAGATAAATTTACCTGAACATACTTGACAATGGAAAAATATTCTTAATTACAGGATTTTCTAAGTATTTATAATTTATAAGAGTAACTGGGCGGGCGGAGCCATCAAAGTACACTGTAAAACTGGCGGATGATGTTACTTGGTGTGAGCTTGATGTACAAATAATATTTGTTTCATTCACTTCTTCCCTGAAATAGATTAAAAGTTGCATTCAAGCAATACTCTGTGACAACAGCACAATTCGTGGTAAGTACATTAATTATATTTTCTTCATTTCGCCAAACACAGTTAGAAATACAAGGCTTTAATTAATATACACATGTACCTGTCAACACTGCATACTGAACCACCAATATCAGCTGTAATATTTCTACCAGCATCCATATATTGTCCCGATATTAGAATTCTAGTACCTCCAGCTTTGGGCCCAAAAGTAGGGAAGAAGCCCACTACCCGTTGTTTCTAAAACAACAACATCAAAAACAGCCATAATTAATATTTTTAAGCTTTGATATACACAAAATACTAGTAATATAATTCTGATTCGAAATCGTAATAGCTAATGTCCTACCCTCCATGTAAATTTTACTACATGTCCAGATGTTCCAGTCTGAGTTTTCCCGTCATTACCAATAACTGTTATACTTATTTCACCAGAATAATCAATATCACCAGACTGCGTTGTACATTCAATACTGTGAAAAGTGTAACACATGGACGAGTAAGAGCGTTTCCTTAAACGTTCTCTATTATGAAAGTAGTGTTCACGTCTGCCATGTGTGAATGTTTTGAAAAAAAGCACAGAAAGCAATTACTGCATACTATATTACCTTCTTGATACTCTGTATCTTTCTTGAATTACTGTACAAGAACGCCCTCCTACGGTGACACTCTTAACGAGAGAAAACATCTTGCCTAAGTTGCTGCCATTAATAATAATATCTGTGTCTCCTTCATAAGGTCCCGATGACGGATATATCTGACAATTTAAATTATAATTTTAGTTAATCTCGTATTACATGAAGACATAAAATAAACATATATGCTAAATGAATTACTCAATGATCGAGAATAGTACACATTGTAAATATACCTCACTTATAATAGGATCATCGCAATTCTCAGTTACATCTTGTGACCACCAATGTCTATTGCAATGTGATGAAATCTGACATGAACTGTCACTGACACACCATCCACATTGTAATTCCTCTCTCGTTGTTATTGTAGATAAGCATCCACTGCAGTCTTTACGGTCAATTCTACAGTCGTACAATGTTACTGTGTGAAATATTGTATATTATTACATATGTACTGCAGTTTATTTTGATTCGTTCCTGAAATCAAAATCGGTATTTCCACAACCCATATGCAAATGAGGTCTGAGAGCAAACAAAGTAGTCCCTTCAGGAGTACAGTTTTTCGAAATAAATAATATTTAGAAGTATGATAATTTCCCCTTGGGGTACATGAATATACTTGCCGAGTGAAATGAAATTTGAACAACAGTAATGGTACTTTTAGGCAGTCACATATTTTGGCCCAAACTAATTTGCATATCACCCATGCAATAATGTTTTCGGTATTTTCACGGTCGATATGCAAATGAACATGGTATTTTCATTGGCTACCGAACTATTTTTATTTTGTAAACACATTTTCGTCTGCTATTTTTATCCAGTTCAAATCGTTCAACAACATTTTTGGCATGTCAGGTG